TCTTTACAATCTCTATCATGTTCTTGAACACATTGAACAATAAGCTTTTTGACTTTTAAGAGAGCCTCCTCTTTCCTTTGTGATGGTACCAGATTTTTTGAGAATGCATTTATCTCTATCCTGTCAGAACTTTGGAAACAGCTTTCTATTGCTCACAAACATACCTAAATCAGACCTAGAAGTACTTTCCTGGAGACAGGTTTCTCTTTTTGAAATGAAAAATAACATAAAGTTGTCTACAAATTTGTCAAAAACATAAAAAGGAAAAACAAAAGAAAAACCCCAATGAGCTCAAACCACAGTTTCAAGCACAAAAGCAAGGATACAAGATGCATATAAAGAAACAGAAATAATAAATGTTTCCCCTCATGCTATAGTCAGAAAAATTGCACAGTTATTTTTTTTGTTACTCTACGTTTTTCAAAAAGTATCAGTGAGTCTTGAAATAAAACCATATGAGAAACACTGCTATAAAGAGATTAAGCTTGATTTTCAGTTCTCATTCGTGCTTGTCTTCTGATGAAATTATTTAGAGTTCACAGCCATTTTCCTTGCACCTTACCCTATCAGTAGTAATGGAAATGCTGCCTGCTTAACTTTTTACCTAACCTTTATTCAGCTTATAACATAACACTTACTTGTGTCCTGCGCTGATGAAGCATTCAAGAACATCTGTAGCTTTAAGCATAAGTAGATTATTGAATTCAGAAAATACACATTTGTTTAGAACCTTGACTACAAAACCCTTTGATTTTTTTTCTTTCTAGTCTTCTTAAAACAAATCAGATGTGACTTTGGTTAAGGTTTTTTCTTTCTGTAGTAATTGGCACATGCATGCCATACTGATGACCTGTAAGAATGAAGAAAAATTACATGGGAAATTGTGGGTAAAGAAAACGAAGAAAAGTTCACATCTATTTCATGCCTCATTACAATAATCCTTACTCATCTTCTACCATGTGTCCCTCTGGATCAGTGCCCACCTTCCTCTTACTATTTGCATAATTTCTTTCTTAGTGATTTGCTGTCCTATTTTCAAATCCATTATGTTACTTCTCTTTGCTGTCCAATTTGGCAGCCAGTTACATGTATTGATTCTACATATCCTTTTGGAGATTAAACATCTTTTAATATCTACTCTACAGCAATGCTGGGCTGGATGAAACCTATTGGAAACCTCTTAATATCTTTATCTATATAAGACAAATAACAACTAAATGGTTCTGCAAGTACATCCTTCCTGTTAAAGTACACATGTATGCTCATGCTTACACACACTAACTTTAAGTCTTTTATTCATGATCTCTACTGTAAAAAGAAATGTGTTTACAGGTATCTTGACTATTCAGGCTCCTGTGTTGAATCAGTGTCTCAGGTCAGGCTGAGAGGGTTTTTTGTTCCCTTTCATCTAAAATCATTGAAATATATTCAGTCAGTCTTTCACATCAGAGGTGTAAATGGATTTCTTGAAAGTTTTTCTGCTGATAGCAAACGGCAGTCACTTTACAACTTTGACTCCATTGTGGGCAGCAGTCGGAAAGCTTAACACTCCACCCGAACTTTGAAGATGCTAAAACTGTGTAATGACCTTGCATTCTCAAGGGCAGATGCTCAGCTTCTGCTGGAAGTGCTAATCTACAATCTGTTTATCTCCATACACTATGTATTTGACAGCACTTGCCCGGGAAGCAAGGCAGGGAAAAGCGCAGTCAAATTTAGTTACTTTTTGCTCTCTGATAGTGTTAGTGTCCACTGGATTTAGAAACTGTAGTCTTTATTTTTGAGCTTCCTTTGCAATCTTAGCAGCCATGCTATCAGAATGTGCTTGTCTGTGAAGGCTCTGCTGGTGTGTGAGCTGGACCACAGAGAGCATCTTTATTTTGAGTTTATAATATTTTGGTTTTACCTTCAAAGCCTGAACAGTTGTCTCTATTTTTTTATCAATAGGATTTAGACTCATTATGCTTTCTCTATTATTCTTTTGTGGGTATGAGTTGAGATACATCACATAATGGTTATGTGATTGATTGGTTATGGCATATTGAGGAACATGCTTGTAATGAAGAGGTAATGTGTTGAAGCAAAGCAGTGTGTGCAGGGAAAGATAGTACCTTTTGTTAGACAAATATACTTTAGTCATGTAAAACCCTCCTTCAAATCTGGAACAGAAAACTGAAAAGAAGAGCTTTTGCACATAAAAACAGTTAAGTGTTTTCAGATAACATATGAATGGGATTTATGTGCTCAAAGTTTGCTCTTCACCAACTCCATCTGCCCATCTGTCTCCCTCAGTCTGGTAATACAGGTTTCCCCCCCCCCAGCAAATCTTGTCTTGCTTGCACCCATAACCATCACAGCCACCGCTATTGACTGAAATAAACCCTTTGGTTGTAATGTAATTCCTGTGGTTTTTCAAACCAGTGCTCCTTATCAAAATAAAACATTAACATCAAATTACTCTGATCCAGCAACAGCATCTAGTTTTTAATATGAACTTGTCTGCTCTGTCAGGTAACAGTTTAGCTTCCCAGGGAATTGCATATGTGTTGCAAATGAGAAAATTCAATCTTGTAAATCCTTTCTGTGGTGAGGCAACAGGAAACTTCTAATTATTTAAATCACCAGGTTTAATAGCAAAATTTTGTAAATAATTGCTATAATTGACCTTTTGAATGCTAAATTTTCAACAAGCTCCATCAGGAATTTATTATGTGTACCAGGATTCTCTTCCTCTCCACTTACAAAATTGTGAAGTGTTACTGTCACAGAGGTAATATTTCCTTTTGTGACATACATGTTGAATGAGCAGTGCCTGTTGTGTTAATATCACCGAGCTTCTAAAGCAAATATATACCACGTTGCAGGTCCCATGATAAAGAGGAAGGGCACCATCATTATTTATCAACAAGACAAAGGGGGAGGTATTTTTTGGGCTTGTTTGGTTTTTTTACTTTTATGTTTTTTGGTAATGTATAAAAGCACTGTGAAAGACAATGAGACATGAAGTGTGTAAGAAATGACTGATGGTGCTGACTCAATGAGTTCCTTCAGATTTAGAGAGGCAGGGCCTCTTCTTGCTACACTCAGTGCCCGTTAAGAGTACAGGCTACTGTTGACGTATCATCTCTCACTCCATCCATGCTCCTTTTTGCTTGTATGAAGGTCTGAAGGTGGACCCTGCTGCAGTGGTGTTCTGCCATCTCCAAATTACAAAGTGCTTTGGTAATACTCAGGCACTTGTAATATTTGAGCTGTGCAGTGGAGTTGTCAATGGAAAAGGGGAAGGAGAGGAAAGTCTGGGTCATGTCTTCTTAGTAGTTAAAAAAAGCTTCAGTCACGCTGGTGAATGACTGTCTTGCACCTGCATTACTAGGATCGTAAGGTCAGTTTTCTATTCTGAGCATCATAGATGCTGCTGTACTCAAGTGTCTGTTCAGCTCTTTGTACCTTCTCCCTTCCTCAACTTTTGTTTCTTCCTCTACAGCTGATATTCCTGAACACCTATATTTCTTCGTAACTTTTACCTGTATTTTACTCTAGACCTCCCTGTAAACGGTGACTGTCTCCCTAAAGCAATTCCTATTGCTTCTACATCTTATCTTTCTAGACTTTTATGATCTATCTCAGCTGTGACATTTGCAAAAAGATAAATGATTATGGATAGCTAGGCTGTGGGGCAGTCAGATATGGCATATATTATTTATTTCAAATATGTTTTTAAATTCTGCAGAGCCTTCAGGTTGTACAGCTTAACTGTTGCCTCTTTGATCCTTCTTGTCTGATATAATTTGTGGCATTTACTTGTTGCATTTTGTTTTAAGAGCACAATAGAAACTCTGCACTAATGAGTTGTGTGGATCTGTGACTTTTTGTGGAACCAGAAAGCAGAAAGTTTTTTTAATATTATCTTCCAAAAGATTGAAGTTACTCAAGGTTAACTGAAAAGCTGGGAACAACTGCTTTTTTTATTAAATTGTTTTTCACTTGGACCTAAAAACAAGCAGAAAATGAGCATCCTTTTAGATGGATGTGAGCATGTTTTGGACCCTTGTCCTTTATACAATAAAGTTTCTGAATAGCTGAAAGACCAGTTATTTTTGAGACATATCTGGATGAAGTATACTCCTGGCTTAGAGAAGCTCTGAGCAGGCTTTGTGAATTAGCATGCATTAAATGACAGAATCAGTTTATTGAGCGATAATAAAATATTTAAGTCAGATAGAAGGATGATGGGGAATTGCTATTTGCAGCTATGAAACTGATGTATGTCATGTTAATTCCCCACCCAAACAACTCGTTTTAAGACTTACTCTCATGAAACTTAAAATCCTCTATTTTGTCCAATCATCAGCTTTAAACCTGTTCCTTGACAGTGAAGACAACAAATCTTTTTGCCTGCGTCTGCCTGGGGGATGTGGAAAGCTGAGGTGGTCCTGTGTGATTAGATTAAAGACTTGGCTACAACCAGTGAGATGCAAAGTCTAATCAAGTGAAGTGAGTTTTGAGATCTCAGCTCATTTCCTTGGGGAATATCAGTTTACATTACACAGTCACAACACCTAATTCATCACAGTTGATGCGGCTTTTGCTCAGACAAGGACCTGGGACTTGATAGTGTGGGACTTGGTCACAAGTCTCCCATTAAGGAGGAGCAGCTGAGTGAAGTTAAGACACAGCACAGTGAGGGGAGAGCTTTAATGTGTTTTAACATTTTTTTTCTGCATTTCTGTAAATCACATCCTTTAGAAGAGAGGGCCTTAGGTGCAAAATGGTAAAAGCTAGAGCTAAGAAAAAGATATTTTGTACTGAGTATAGTTTATAAAATGATTGGTGTACAGATTTTAAAGAATGTACACAGTGAAGAGGAAAGGGGAACTTCAGGTTACTAAATTCTGATGATGTTGAACGATATTTGTGTGCTTCCATGCACTAAGCTAGAAGAAAGTAAAGACTGTTCTGCTTCCCTAGCTAACTAATTTTTTTTTGTTTGTTTCTTCCAGGGCATCATTATAACTCCACTTCTGCTTCTGCTTTTTGTAAGTACCCTGATCTTAAGATGTCTTTTTACTGAGTATTCTTGCATCCATTAGGCAGTATATTTAATATATACATTTCGGTGGTTGAAGGACAAATACTGAGGAAGATTTTGCTGGTCAGTATTTGAAATAAGCTGCCTCCCAGAGGCCATCGAAGTGTGCCGCAATGAATGCTAACATGACTTGCCCTTCATTCTAAGAGGACCAAAACCTGTTTTTCTTTCAGATCATATGCTATTAGTCAGGCTGGATAAAATGCAAACACTTGCCAAGTAAAGTGATCACTCAGGAGATCTCTTGGAGAGCTTTAACATACAGGAGCTGGACAAGATTGTACTGAACCAAAATGGATGACAAGCCAATTGGGAAAGCAGTGTTCAGATAAACAGAGCCTTGGGAAACTAAGCCCATGAGTATTTTTGTGGTAGAGATTAGTGCTATAATAGCAGCAATACAAATTACTGGAGCCCCTGTGTATCACTAAATGTGATGCTGCTTCATTCCTGATAGGTCAAGATTTCTTTTTCAGTTAGTCTACTGTCGAGGGATTGGTTTCTTACAGTTCATGGTAGAAACAAAAGGAGAACACAAAGCTTTATCTTCTTGTTTGTAAAGGTATGGATATATAATGGTCAGCGTACAGTGAAGAGGCTTTAACAGATGGGTGGTGGTGCTTTAGTAAGTCCCTTGTCAGTTGGGAAGTCTTGGTGCTTGAGGATTTGCTGGCACAAATGGTACAGTGCAAGTTACTGAGGACTATGGCTTTGTCAAGAGCTGGGAAATAGGCTGAAGCACTTGAAGGATTTTAGGGGAGGCATATATTGTGTTTTATTAATGTATTAATTGCCTTGTATGTAAGCCAGCATCCTGAAAAGAGGGATAAGTGTGAAGCTAATCTGAAACAACTTGAAAGTGGCATGCAAGTGGCATACTGTTTATATTTTATAGTAGGAATGCTTAAGCAGCATATGTACTGTATCCAAATATAGCAGTGTATAATAAACTGAGATAAATAGTACTGTGAGAGTGGCTGTAACATTACCAACTCCTGCTTCAGTAGAACTGTGTGGGAAGACTTTTATTTTTCAATAACAAATTGTAATTCATCTGATGTAGCTATGTTTACACAAGAACTGCTTTGACCTTATCATGTGTGTATATACTAATACACACCAGCAAAGCTTTCTTGATATACCTGGGACCATAGACTTAATGTAGGTTGAAAATCATTCCAGATGGTCTGCCTCACTGTTTCCCTCATGTTTCCTCCTGTATGGAATGCGTTTTTTTCCACAATCTGTTCATCCAAAGACCTGTGCCTTTGTTTCTAAGTGACTGAAACTTCACCTCTTTTTACTTTTTCTCACTGGCAACTTTAACCCTGCTACATCTCACTGAGTTTTGGTGCTTTTTATAGCCAAAAGGGATATTTTCTGTAGAAATTGAAATGTTAAGGAATGATCTGGATACCTTTTCAAGCAAGATAAAGATCTTTCTTCTGATGCCTTTATGGATAGATAACAAGATATCCTGTCCCATAAATTGCAGTTTTCACTATTACTTCTCAAAAGAGGTGGTAAAACTTCCTATGTGCAAAAACAAGAAGGCAAAGCATATGCCTCTAGTCTTCCTAGGAGCCCAGGAGACGCTTGGGCAAGAACTATGTAAAATGCACATCAATTGTGCAATTTGTAACATGACTTGGAGCTGTTGTTTGGGAATGGGGGGAGTTACAAAAGCTGCACTTTTTTGGTCACAAAGCCCAAAACTTGAGGACTTCTATTGGGGCATATCGACATTTAGAAGTCCTTGAGCTCTTTGCAGAGAACATGACACACAAAGAGCAGCCAATCTAGTTAGCCCAGCAGCACATCTTGCCAAGATGATGTCTGCTTTCTCTGAATGTTCAGTTTACTTAGTGGCAGGCATTTAGGATAGTGAACTAAATGCACATTCCTTGATACACTGTTCCTGTAAGTTGGCAGCCTATGGTTTGGTCTACTGAAACCTTTTTTTCTCATGAACCTCTCTAATTTTCCTTTGAGTTTCCTTGATACATCTGACCTCCTCAACATGTAGTGGATTCAAGCACACAGTTCGCACAATCCTGTTCACTTGTTTACAACGTACTGCTTGGTCATTTCATGTAGGGCTGTGTTGTTACTGTTAAGTGAGAAACACTGACTAGTAATTTCCTAGTTACTTTTTCTGTACCATTCATGAGTTTAGTCATGCAACTTCACCCTTAATAAGGGATGGAACTGTCAAGTTTCAAGATAAAACTCTCCTTTACCTCGACAGTAGCTGAGCTGGGGTTCTGAATGCCATTTGGGGCCCTCTGAAGTCAATGCCTTCAGTAAATTTTGATTCCTGAGTATGGTACTCACAGGCACTAACTCTTCCTCAGAGTGATACTACAATAGTCTGAATGCTTTAGATTATGTTAGTGATCCTGTTTGTTAGTGTCCCTGTACACAGAGCATAAAACTCCTTAATGCTGCCAGAAATAGAGTGCATTGTTATCCATTACCTTGGTTTCTTTATGTAGCTTAACCTGCAGTAGTGGTTCTGTTTTAAATTTTGCCCTTTATGTACCAGAGAATATAATATTCTGAAGTGCCTTTTCTGTTCATAATTTTCTAGTAGTGTAAATATAAATTGGCTAAACAACATTGATAAAGACATGTTGAAGCTTATCATAAATAATGTATTTAATGCAATTAATTTATCAACCTAAATGAATGGTGGTTAACATAAAGATTGTCAGTTACATTTCAGAAAAGTGTATTTCTACTATGAAGATTTTGGTATAAAGCGTACTCAAAAAAAGCATTCTAAGAGGTTCTGGTTGATTTAATGAAATCTTAAATACTGCACAGAATTACCAGACTGTATCCGTGTGAGGATGCCATGCTAGACTTTAAAGAATAGCCACCTTCACCATGGATATCTCTGATTAACGTTGTCCCTAATAAGAAGTTATTGAATCTGACTTCCAGATGCGTTATTCTACAATATCATCATCCTCATGTTAACCCTTATTATTAACAGTTAATATGTTAGATTTCCAGAAAAGGTGTTATAAATGGGCAATGTCCCATAAACTATATGTAACCGATTAGTTCATGTATGTGGTGAATGGGAGTGTTGAAACAAAGCCCTGTAAGATACATCAGTTTCAGGTTAGTTTCAGGATTATGCTGCTCACGTTTCTTCACAACATTCTGCAATGTTTCATTAATGATGATTAGGAGGCTGGATACCAAAGCACTTGGAGAAGGATCCTGTCTCTCTTCCTCTCGTCTGGTCATATACTTAGCTAAAGCCAGAGGTAACAGATTGATCACGATTTTTTTTAAAGCAGAGGAATAAACTTTATTTTCTCAAAGGCATGTGGGGAAAAAAACCCACCAATTAGAAATTGAAGGGTAGACTAAATTTTGCTTTTGCACATAACTATATTGCTATCAATAAATAATGACTACAAACAGATTAAGTAATGCCTAAGGAAGTTAGTCACCTGGGTATGACTGTCCATCTTAACTTATCATGTGACTTATTCTCTATGTTCAGTTTGTTATTTGAAGTCTTAAGTATACTGCATTTGGGCACATTTATATTACTAAAAGTTAAACAAAAAGTGTCATCAGACTGTGAAGTTAAAAGTGCTGTGATCTCTTTAATAACCTCGAGATGTCAGCATCTTTTTATGATGTCTCATTTGAATGACACAATTTCAGAAGCACTGAACTCTGAAACAGCTGTAGCTGTATCATCCTACTAATGTCCTTAGGTTGTAACTTTATATTTATGAAAAGCAGGGATATGTATGAATGCAGCTTTATTTTTATTGAGGGATTTCATACACGTTCATATGCACAGGATGGAGGCCAGCCTGGTGCCTCAATGAAGTCACATCTCTTGGATTTGCCCTGGAAGCAAAGTGAGCACAGATATTGTACTACCATGTAAGAGGATGATGCAGAGTGGCCTTTCTCATGTGAATTTAGCTCTGTTTTACCAAGCTACACAAAGTTATGATTTTTTTGATTGTATTTGGTATCAAAATGCAAGAAGTCAGCTATCTGTACACCTGCTCGAGCCTTTGATGCTCCAGGTTTTATGATACAATTTCCCGAGTCAGCCATCTTCTTGGTATTACCTGTAATGTTGAGACTCAGTGCCTGACTGATGTGGTCTCTTCAACTGTTGGGAGCACAGCTGGTTAACTATCAAAGTAACAAAAGTCAAGGTGTGCGGAGCTGTGTATTTTTATTGAAAGCCATCACAGAAAATGCTAGAGATAAGTGGTTTACATTGTTATGTACTTCACAGTCTTCAGAAGCATGCCTGCAAAGCAGTTAACAAGGAATGTTAAAGAGCCAATGCAAAATTCATTTGTATTTTTTAAAATAGACCTGGCAAAATCCTCCATGTAACTGTCACACACTGTTCCCATGTTTGCTGTTTTACCAAAGAAGATTGCCATGACATTTGTGTCTCAAAATGGAATCTTCCTGAGGCTTTATCAGCTTGCTTCTTTTCTTGATTTATTCAGTCATATTTTCTTCTCTGATACCCTCTCAGATTTCTGAATTTTGTAGTAGGTATTTTTATGGTGACATTGTAGCAGTAATGCCAAAGTACTAGAAAGCAGTGTTTCTGAAGGAATTCAGGAGTAGACAAGTGAAGGAAATTCTGAGCAAGTATCACAGAGAAAATGGAAATAAAATGACTGATGCATAAGGATGTGAATGAAGCTAGAAGCTGATTGAAATACTGAAGTTAAAAGCTTTTTCCTATATTCACAATCCTTAAACTAAAATACTGTTTTACAGGTTGTTGACATTTCTGAAAATTTTGCCAAGTCTTCTCCAACTCCGTGTATTCCAGATAAAGCTTTTTATTAAAAGGAGCTGTTGTTACATAATATTTCAAACAGGTTTTCTACACACTATGTCTTGTTATTCCTCTCAAGCACTTGGCAAATGAGAGTTGAT